GGGGACTGACATGGGCTCGCACTGCAAAGTACTCCCCGCCGTTTTCCCATCCTAGTCCACCCCACCCCACCCCACTCTGCTCGTCACCCACGCCCCGCCGCCTCTGCGCTCCCCCGTCTGCTGCGCATCGTGGTTCTCATCAGCCCTTCACGGCTCTCGTGGTTCTAAGCCCGAGCGCACTGAAGACATGCTTGCTCGCCACCTTCCTGCTGTCACCAGCCCACGCCTCCCCGGCTTGCGGAGCCTTCGTCACTGGCTTCGTAGGTCAGCGCCTGCTCTCTGTTGGCTTCTTTCTTCGTTCTCTCTTCCAAGATGGACCATCCCTTCGGAGATACCCGTTCAGGCTACCCTCATTTTTTTTTTTGGCTCCGGTCTACACTCAGTCTTTCTGTCCCATTCCTTTGCCAGCCCACTGCTGGGAAGCCTGCCTGCACCAGACCGCTCCTGCCTGTTGGCCTTCCCCCCCCAAGACCCTGCTCTGAACATCCCCACATCCGTTCACTGTCCCACGTCTCGGGCTGAGGGAGTTTTGTAGGACCGTGGGGATAACTGCCCTTGTAGGCCTCTTTACCCAGAGTCAGTGACTCAAAAACCCAAGCCAGACAAAGACCCTAAAACGTATTTTTGTTGTTTGGTTGGGGAAAGGGGCAGAGAAGGGGAAGGCTGCCCACGGTCTATAGGTTCCTGTGGAATGCCCCCATCTTTAAGTTGAAAACGTCGGAAGGTGGCTTCACTAGCTGCACAGAGTGGCTTCCTGCTGACCTGGCTACAGACAGGGACAAGGCAATGCCCACCTTCTCCACCCGACAGAGCACGCATGCCCAATCCCAGCTCTCTAGATGACTTTGGCTCCATTCTGATTCCCTCCTTCCCGGGGGGCTCTCTGGATTTGAGTCACGAGTGGGCTTCTATCATTGATTTTGTCCTAAGTTTTGTTTGTTGTTTTGTAGTAGCGAAAAATTGTAGACCCGTAGATAGCATCAACAATTAGTGTAGAAAACATAAGTCTGGCTTACCACTGAAGCCTGAGGATTACAAAACACCAGAATTTCAAAATGAGGGTAGCCTGTGCTACATAAGAATTGTTCTCACTGTCTCTGTGTCTCTCTCCCTCCTTCCTTTCTTCCTTTCCCTCCCTTCCTTTCTTTCTCTCATGGATAGAAACACAGAGTGGGGAGGTAAGGGCGAGAACAGTATTGGCAATAGCTCTCTGTGTGATAAGATAGAATCTTTGATTGCCTTCTTGATTGATTCCTTCCTTCCCTTTCTTTTAACGAAGTCTCAAGTCACTCAGGCTGGCCTGGAATTTACTGTGAAGCTAAGGATAACCTTAAATTGCTGATTCTCTTAGGTGTTAGAGTTACAGTCATGCATTTACCGCGCCTGGCTCAGATTATTTTTCCTCACTAATACTTTTTATGGTCTCTATTTCATCACAATGAACATGTATGACTTTAAAAAAAAAAGATGAAGTAAAATGAAAGCAATTTATGGTCCTTGATCTTGATAAAGCTGTTATCAGTGTTAGTACCTTTGGTACCCAGGTATTTGTGCATAGGTATAATTGTAATGGACCTACAGTGTTCTATCCTGGAAAGAAAAAACTCATATCATGTGTTAATAGTCCTCAGAAGCATAATTTTTAGTGGTTGTATAGTAACCCACTAAAGAGGCATACTATAACTTAACCTAGACATATGTACATGGCCAATACACACACACACACACACACACACACAGAGAGAGAGAGAGAGATGGCCAATACATATAATTTATAATTATATTTTGTATTTTTTGAAAGGGAAAGAAGGACTCAGTTAACCAAGAAGGCAAGCAAAGATTCTATGTGTATGTTCAATATATATTCCTTTCTTGTGTCATTATAAATGCATTCAACAAATAGCTATTGAGCACCTAATGTGTTAATGCCGGGCGACAGGTGGCACCCTACTGAAGATGGCAGATATCATTTCCCGCTGAGAAACAGGGCCTCCCCTCCCCTCCCCCACCCAGTGCTGGGGACTGATCCCAGATCCTCATATATGGCAGGCAAACACCGCCGTGGAGCAAGCGACGACATCTTCACTGATGAGTGACTGAGCTAGAGGCGGCGTGGAGAGGGAACAACCCCTCTTCATTGATGGAATCTGTTAAAATCCGCTGATAAAACTGTGAAGATCGTGGAAGCTTTCGCAGCTGCTGGCATCCCTGCCTCCCCCTCACTCTCTGAAGATTTTAGCACCTGGCTCATTGTCATTCTCTTCACTCCCACCTCTTTGTAACCCTTGATGACTTTTTCCTTCTTCTGGGGGGCCTGGGAATTGTTCTGGGCTCTCAATGACTCAGTGCACCAGAGGCAGTTCCCCCACCGTGGATGGCAGATGGCTTGTAAGGACAGCCACTGCCCTGCTCTCTGTCTCAGATGACCCACGCCCACTCTTGGCTGTTTCTCAGCAGGAGGTGAGTCCCTTGAATTTAGGCTGAGCTTTGTGACTTGCTTTGACTAATAGAATGTAGTGGGAATTACCCATATGAGTTTCTGAAGCCTAGGTCTTCAGAGGGAAGTGCCCTTGGCCCTTCTAGAATCCTTCTACACCTTTATTCCCAGAGCTTGGGAGGCAGAGGCAGGCAGATCTCTGTGAGTTCAAGGCTAGTCTAGTCTACCTCCCCAGTTTCAGACCAGCCAGGGCTACACAATGAGAGACTTTTTTTAAAAAAAATTTTTTTAAAGATTTATTTATTATTTATACAGCATTCTGACTGCATGTGTGCCTGCATACCAGAAGAGGTCACCAGATCTCACTATAGATGGTTGTGAGTCACCATGTGGTTGCTGGGATTGAACTCAGGACCTTTGGCTGGGATTGAACTCAGGACCTTTGGAAGAACAGCCAATGTTCTTAACCTCTGAGCCATCTCTCCAACCACCCCCCCTTTTTTTTTAAATACAGTATTCTGCCTGCATCTGTACCAGCAAGCCAGAAGAGGGCACCAGATCTCACTACAGATGGTTGTGAGCCACCATGTGATTGCTGGGAATTGAACTGAGGACCTTTGGAAGAACATCCAGTGCTCTTAAACTCTGCACCATTTCTCCAGCCAGAGAGACTGTCTTTAAAAAATTTTTTTTTAAATAAAAATAAAAAATCAGGAGGAAAACAAACAAACAGATAACCTCTGGTTCTCAGTGGGATTTTTTTGTTGTCTTCTTCCTCTTCCTTATGTATACAATGCTCTGTCTTCATGTACACCTGCAGACCAGAAGAGGGCACCAGATCTCATCATAGATGGTTGTGAGCCACCATGTGATTGCTGGGAATTGAACTCGGGACCTCCTCTGAGCCATCTCTCCAACTCCATCCTCTGGTTCTCTTAAGCACTCAGGAGGCTGAGGGAAGATCACTACATGTTTCAGGCCTGCTTAGGCTACACAGTAAGTTCCCAGTCAGCTTGGGCTATACACTAAGACTGGGCAGGGGTGTGGGGATGCGGAGAAAGAAACTTCTGTATTCCTGGGACTCCATGCCCAGCCCTCTTTTCTGTCTTCTCTTCCTTCCTTCCTGATGCCACTCAGCCCAATGACTGTGAAGAGCTAGCTTTGGAAGATGGCTCCTCTCAAGTCACAGAGGCCTAACCCTCCACATGGATTAACAGACTTAGCATTTGCAAATGTGAGTTACTCATTCCCACTCCAGACAGCTTCCTCGAGTCAGTTTTACCTGTATTAGTGAGTGGATATGCCACCTGTCCAATATTAGGCCAAGATCATCAAAATCCGGTCATGTTTGGTCTCTCTGTCTCTCTCCCGTGTGTGTGTGTGTGTGTGTCTCTCTCGTTTCCCATGTGGGCGCCTGTGGAGTTCAGAGGACCGACCGACCCTTGGCTCCTCAGAAGCTGCTATCCACCTTGTTTTTTCAGACAGGGTCACTCATTGGCCTAGAGCTCATGGAGTAGGCAAAGCTGCCTGCTGGCCAGGGAGCCCGGGGATTGCAAACACCTGCCACCATATTTGAGACGGCTGTCTTTAATGAGTGCTGGGATTAAACTCAGGACTTCCTGCTTGAATAGCAAGCATTTTATTGACTAAGCCATCTCTTCAGCCTTCTTCCTCTTCCTCTTTTATCTCTGTGGGTATGTGATGTACATATGCATGAATACGTATGATGTGTGTATGGTATATGTGCATGCACATGTGTGTATGATGTCATTTGTATGGTGTGTGTACATGCATGTGTCTGTATGACATGCATATGCATGTGTATGTATGATGTGTATGCATGGTGTATGTGCATTCGTGTGTATCTGTGATATGTGTGTGCATGTGTCTCTGTGACATGTATGAACATGTGTCTATGATCTGTGTATGCATGTATATCTATAACCTAGGTATACATGGGTTATGCATGCATGCCAGGTACACACTTGCATATGGAGGTCAGAGGACACCTTGTTTGAGGCAGGATATCTTTGTTGTTTTCCAGGGCCCTTAGCCTGCCAGGCTGGCTGGTTCACAGGCTTCTGGAGAGAGGCCTTGCCATGGCAACGCTGGGATTGCAGGGCTGCGGCATGTCTGGCTTTTTGTAGGCTCTAGGAATTCGGGCTCAGGTCTCCACAAATGTTCAAACCAGCACTGAACCTATTGGACAACCTCCCCAGAGCCTCTTCTCTTTTTTACAGTCTACATCCTGCAGATTCCACCTTCAAATCTGTCAAGAATTTGGCCAGACATGGTGGCACACACCTTTGATGCTAGAAGTCTGAGGACAGAGGCAGGTGGATCTCGGAGTTGGAGGCCAGCCTGGTCTACAAAGTGAATTCCGAGACAGCGATGCCACACATGGAAAAAACTTTTTTTGAAAGACCAAAACAACAATAACAACAGAAAAGTATTTGACATTTGACTACTTTTCACAATTTGACTCTAATACCCTGAGCCAAGCCGCTGTTAGCGCTTCCTTTTTTCCTAATTTTATTTATTTATAATTTATCATGCATGTTTATGAATGTACACGTGCCACAGCCTTCGGGCGGAGTTCAGAGAACTTTCAGAAGTCAGCTTTCTTCTTCCACTGTGTAGGTTCTAGGGCTTGAACTCCGGTCGTCGTGATTGGCAGCAGACACCTTTCCTGCCGAGCCATCTCACTGGCCCACTATCATTGCCTTTCCATTGAAACACTCCAACCTTCCCACATCATGATCTACGATCATGTGTCAGTCAGGGTAAAATGTGACATGGTATCTGAAACTAAATCCTGAAAAAGTAATTGGTAGAGGGCCATGAGATGGCTCAGGAGGTTAAAGCATTTGCCATCCAGGATGACTGCATGAGTCAGATCCTGGAGAGCCGCATCCTGAAAGGAGATAACTGATTCCTGCAGGTTATACTCTGACCTTCCCGCGCAGGCCGGGGCCTTTGTACCTACACTTACATAGATATACAAAACAAACGAACAAACAAATAAATGTAATAATAAAAAAATAATTAGGTAACCACCATCAAAATAATTGGTAGAGAGACTGGAGAGATGGCTCAGCGGTTGAGAGCACTGGCTGCTCTTCCAGAGGTCCCGGGTTCAATTCCCAGCACCCACATGGCAGCTCATGGTTGTTGGTCCCGAGTTCCAGGGGACTGAACACCCTCACACGGACATAAATGCAGGCGAAACATCAAGGCACAGAAAATACAAATAACTAAATTTAAAAAATAATCAGTGAAAACCTGGAAAAAAATCTGAACAAAGTCTGGAGTTTATTCTAAGGCACTAGTAATGGATTCTCTGCTTTGACAACTATACCGTGATATAACATTCGCACCGAATAAAAAGGGGCAAAGGATATACAGGAACTCTCTGCCTTTGTAGCTTATTTTGGTTGTTCTTGTTTTTGTTTTATTTATCTATTTATGTCTTTATTTACTTATTTTGTTTTTTTGAGACAGGGTCTCACTATGTAGCTCTGAATGTCCTGGAACTCGTTCTGTAGACCAGGCTGGCCTTGAACTCACAGAGGTCCTCCTGCCTCTACCTCTAAGTGCTGGGATTAAAGGTATGTGCCACCACCTTCCCAGCCTTGTTTTTGTTTTATTCTTATTATTTATGTGGATGTGTGTATGAGTTTATGTGTACTTGTGTGTAGATGCCCTTGGAGGCCAGAGGAGAGCATCAGATCCCCTGGAACTAAAGTTGAAAGTTTTGTGAGCTGCCTAGCTTTCGGTCTGGGAACTGAACTCAGGTCCTCTGGAAGAACAGCAAGCGCTCTTAACTACTGAGCCAACTCTCCAGCCCCATGTGTTCTTATCTTTGACACTCTTCTCTCTGAGGGGTGGTATCTAGGTTGCCTTTTGGCAACCTTGTAACTAAAGTTCAAGTGACACTCGCTGACTTCTAATGTTAAGTGGCAAAACATGGCACCGGGTTCCTGATTCTCGAGATACTGTATTTGGAGATATGATGAATTGCCATGTAATCAGTCTGAGTGCCCTGAGATGGCCATCGTAGAAGGAAGCTTAAACTGTCCCAGCGAGAGGCCATGCGCAGAAGCCCTGAGACTACTTGGAGACAGAGAAATACCCAGGCAGACCTTGCCGCTTCAGTCCCCAGCTGACTCATCTGCACAGAAGACAGTTCCGCCCCAACCCCCAACCCAAACAGTCTTAGGCCACTCATAGGGGGTTATTTGTTCCATGACGCCATAGATGACTGTGATAAAAGGAGGGATGGTGTGATGGTCTGAATAAGAACGACCTACCTCCGTAGGCTCATGTATTTGATTGCTTAGGAAGTGGCACCATTTGAAAGGACTAGAGAGGGTGGCCTTGTTGGAGTAGGTGTGGCCTCACTGTGGGTGGGCTTTGGGGTTCCAAAAACCGAAGCCAGTCTCGGGGCCTGTCTTCCTGCTGCTTCAGGATCCGGGTGAGGAACCCTGAGCTGCTCCTCCAGTACCATGTCCGCCTGCTTGCGGCCATGCTCCCCACAGTGACAACAATTGACTAGACCCCTGACACTAACACCAGCGCTGATTAAATGCTCACCTTTATGAGAGTAGCTGTGGTCGTGGTGTCTCTTCACAGCAACAGATGGAACAGCAGAAGCATCCCATGGGGCCCAGGTGTCTTATTTCCCAAGTTTCACGTGAAAAAGGGCTTGCATTCAGCCAGCTCTAAGGATGCTTTTAGCCTCCGTGCTTGATACCCGGGACATCACTGCAGCACTCACTGTCCATTTTCGCATCTGGTAACTATGTTACCGTAATTTCTTTCTTTTTGTTGTTTTGTTTTGTTTCTGTTTTAAGGCAACTATGTTACCTTAATTTCTTCCTTTTTGTTTCTTTTGTTTTTGTTTTGAGACAGAGTTTCTCCGTGTAGTGCTGGCCATCCTGGAACTCCCTCGCTCTGTAGACCAGGCTGGCTTCAAACTCCGAGATCCACCTGCCTCTGTCACCACCTGGCTTGCCTTAATTTCTTAATATTCTGGAGAAAACAAATGTGTGTGGACACCAATGGCTGACTGGCGCAAAGGTAGTGGGCAACTCTGGCTCTATCTGACAATAAAGTGACAAGGACTTAGGATCTTACTGTGGTGCCAGGGCTGAAGCTGGGGACACTCTCGGGCCTATTTCTTCGTGTGTATAATGAAGATGTCCGAAGTTCTCACTAGTCTGCGCCATGCACATCTCTTCTTTCCCTGCCCTCCTTCCTTGCCCCCCTTTCCTGCTGGCTGTGGGATGGAATGAGCCTGTGAAATGGACCTGTGCACACAGGAAGCAGGAGAATGGGGGCCGAGGTGAGGCTCTGGAGGATCTCTGGTGAAGTCAAGCTCATTTTCTTGCCTTGGAGTAGGACAGAGGTTTGGCAAGAAGAGCCAGGACAGGAGGTGGAACTGGGCTGTGCTGGGCTGTGCTGGGACTTGTCTCTCCAAACTGTCTCTGTTGCAGTGTCTTTGGGAACCTGTCACTTTCAGTCCCTTTACCCAGAAAGCACCCAGAAGCAGTGCCACAGCGGGCCTGTGATTGTGGA